TATACAGCAAAATGCATGCATCGACATTTAATGCATAGAGTGATATTTAGCATGTTTTGTGGTAGTTTTGTTCCATGACTCTCCTGTGACTCTCGATGAATTCCATTAGTCTAAATTACACACGATAGAAGTCCACTACAGAGAAAGAGCACAGGATTAAGAGTCAGGAGACCTAGGTTCTAGCCCTATCTTGGCTATTTCATTTCCCCTTACAAGGGCCTTTGATGCTCTGTCTGAACATTGAGGGAGACGTGGAGTACAAGATCTTTCAGGTTCCTTCTTGTTCTAAAATTCTCTAAGTCAGATCACTGCATTTTGTGTTTTATTAGTTACACCAAAGCAAAGGAAACAAGACTGACATTGCCAAGTTCCTAACCACCCTGCACATTTTTTGGGCAACACAGAAGGGCCTTTTCATTATGGAGGCCACTTTGAGTCCTAACACACTGAACCACAGGGCTTCAGCATTCACCCTTGCTCTCAATTACTCCTGTAACAGACCCTTCAGTGTAGTTGGTTGGCTGGTGGAAATAATCATAAAAGATTATTTCAGACGTATATTTCAGAGGAAGGGGGTGCAGGCCTAGGGGTAGAATCGCGAGGAGGCTGCACTTGTAGTCATTATGACTTGGGATGGGTGAGGTGAGAGGCAGGCTATGGAGAGAACCCATAGGACTAGGCTTAGTAATGAATTTCTGTACTTATGTCCTCCATCCACTTACATCGTATTCAAAAGATATTTTCTTGTGTGGGTAGAACAATGTTCAGGAGAAGGAATTATCTCAACTCTGTTTTTGTTGATCGATATGTAGAAATACAGAAACACACATATTGCTTAACAATACAAATAATTTGCACCTGAAATTCATTTGCTTAGTCCCTTGGAGCCCTACAGAACAAAATGTTTGTAACAAATACAGCTGTGCTGGCGATACTATTGCGTTAGAGAAAACAAAATCTTGGTCTCTGGTCCAAGGAGCTTATAGTCCAAAGGAAGTCAGAGAGGAGTCTTGAGAAACCTGGCTTCTAGTTTGGGTTTGCTTTTTCCCAAACGTGCCCTGCACTTTTCTGATGGCGTGGCTTTATTCTTGCTGACTTTTTTTGTTTTTTAATGCTGGAATGCCCATTCTCTTCACCAGCCATCAAAAGCCTACCCAGGCTTCAAGGCCCCACTTAAATGTCACCTAGTCTGCAAAACTTTCCCTATCTCCCACCCTCACCCCATTAGAGGCCTTTCCCACCCTTCTTTGTGCTCTTAGAGTCCTTTTGTCCGCTCTTGATCACACTACCAAAATCCACTTAGAGTGGTGTCTATGATTTAAGGGTCAGTACCCGACTTTACTCATCAAACTATCTCTCCAAGCACTTACAGGACCACAGAAAAGGAGTCTGAAAACATAGAAGAAAATGTGTATTTAAATTATGTTGGTTATATTTTCAAATAATACGTCAAATATACTTCCCTTTGATCTCAAGAAGACTTTACAAGCCAAATGCCTCTAAATTTAAAGGAATGAGTGCAATTACCAACCTGGAAAACATTTTTAAATAAACAGAAGTGTTTTCCTATATTTCTGGACTTTTTGAACATCTTAAATGTACTATATTCTCCAAAGTGTTGAATCATACTGGAGTTGTCTTTCACCTTGGCACCCCCTTTTTCTCATTTGGAAAATGGAAACGCTACCTACCTGCCCTATCTCTTTGGCAGTGTTATCACAAGGGTAAATAGGAAAATGACTGTGCAAAAGGATCAAGTAGTATGGAAATGCAAAATGTTGTTCTCATTAACTATCCAAGGACTTACTTTGTGTCCATATTGTTAGCACTCGAGTATGCAGACTTTGGCTAACCCTCTCACAGCTGCATTAAAGAGGATTCTCCATGAGCTGTTTAAGAGGGGAAGCCAAGAGGCTGATTACAGCTTAGGGCCCTGCCATCAAGAGTTACCAAAGGGATGCTGGGACTTCAAATTTGTTTCCAATTGCGCAGGAGGAAAGTCATGGCCTCAGACACCTGCTTCCTGTTTCCACCATGACTCACACCTTTCAGGTCCACTTGGATGGAAGTTCAGATGAGAACTGCTTGGGCCCACTGCCCAAGGACCTTACTGGTGCTATCTAAGGTTCAGGTAGCTATGTAGAAGGAGGAACAAGAAGCTGAGGCCTGAGACCCAGGGGGCCTGAGCCAAGGTCACAAGATACTTTTTAGCTTATTTGGAAAAACCAGTTCACCCTGCATCTTGGTAGTGTCAAGCATGAGGCTGTTGCCTCCCGATCAGATGCACTGAGAGAGACATATTACTTCTATGGCAATTCTGCCCCAAATGCATAATATGGACTTAATCACAAGGAAACATCAGACACACTTAAATCAAAGGACATTCTACCAAATAACTTGCCTGTACTCTCCATTTCTACCATACATCATCAAAAAGAAAGACTCAAGTTCTAGTTTAAAGAAGACTATAGGAACATAACAACTGCAGGTGATGTGTGAATCTGGACAGCAATTGCTGAAGTGTGAGTATGAGCTGTAGCGTATATAACAGTGTTTCACCAGTACAAATTTCCTGATTTTGATCACTCTGCTATTGTTAGGAATGAAAATATCCTTATTGTTAGGAAATACACACAAGCATTCAGACGTAAAATGGTATGATGTGTGCAACTTAATCTCAAATGTTTAAAAAAATGGTAAAGTGTGTGTGTATGTGCATGTGCATGCGTGTGGGGGGTGTGTGTGGAGTGAGAGAACACAAGGACTAAATGGAGCAAAAATATAAACTGGTGAATCTGTGTAAAGAGTGTACAGAACTTTTTTATATTATTCTTGCAACTCTCCTGTAAGTTTGAAATGATATAAAAGTAAGAAGTTAAAAAGTTAGTAAGAAGCTCACCAAAACCCAAATTCTTTAAATGTTTGCTCTAGAGAATCATATGATTTGTTACTTCATGTGTGTTTGCCTCACTGTCATAAAAAAGAGTCATTTTAAAAATAACAGGATGTACTGGCAATCCCACAGAGAGGCTCTGGCAGTGCCACCATCTATCGCTTGTTCTAGTCCTTCAATGGTTAAATTAGTTCATAGAATTGAGTCAAAACAAAACAAAACACCCACACAAAAAAGCCCACAAACCCAACCAGGAGAAATGGTTTAACAAAGCCAGCACTCACCTCAACAGGCTTATGGACGATGGGTCCTCAGCCTAAATGAACTGAACAGGTCAAGTGAAAAGCTGAATGACTCAAGTGAGCAGGCCAAATAAATGTCCAAGCTGCCCCATTGCTTTTGATGAAGATGCTGGGGTAGGTCAATCTCCTCAGAAGGATGATAAGGGCAGAAATGCATAGGGCAAAGACAGTAAGAAGCAATGTAGCATAGGAGCTCCTGTTGGAGAGTGGAATGACAGAAAGAGGCTACTCCCCATCTTGGAGCAACCATAATTAATGAGCTTTGCTGCTCAGAAGAGTAACCGAGTGCTGACGGTAAGGGTAGTTTTCATCCATGCTACAACCTCTGCGTAACACTGGCTGCACAGAAAGTTCAGCAGATCCTCATTTGGGGAAACAAAATAGCTGAGCAGGACAATTAGAAGGTTCTGGTCGGGGTCAACACTGGAAACTAAAGGGGTCATTACAGGAACAGAATAGGAAGTAGGAATGATGAACAGGTAATGGTCGATTAACCAAGAAAGTAGAGTCCTAACGTAGAGAAATGAAAATGGATGTCAGGTAGTGGTGTGAGGTTACATTCGTAAAAACTAACTTTCCGGTGGTAGGGGGTAGGGGAGGGGGAAGACCACAGCCTTGATTTGTAGTGTGTGCTGATTTCCATGGAGCAAATATTCCCACCACGACGGAGTTCTTGTTACCAATCTGTAATTGCTGAGCATAGAGCTCAGAAGCGATGTACACAATCAACACTTGTGAGCTAGCATGAACTGGCTCCAGCATACTGCTGGCAGTCACTCAGGTGCTAGTTCTATATCTGCCACCACCTAGCTATGTCACCCTAGTAACTTAACCTTTCTGGGTCTTCATTTCCTCTCCTGCAAATTGTTGACCCCCCAAGATTATCGAGACAATCAAATGAAAGTAATTTATCTCCATCTAAAATCTTTCAGCTCTGACCATCTATGGTCCCGTGATGGAGTTGGCCACATTGGTGGCCTTTTGCCTATTTCCATCTCACACCAGGTCTTGTGAGCAGGGAGAAGACAAAAGAATTCTAGAGGAATCTGCTCCAGAGTGTGGCCATCGAAGCAGAAACCAGGTTCACATTGCCTCAGAGGTGAGGTCCAAGGCAGTAACTGCTCCAGATTTTCTATACAGAAGAGATTTCTGGGTGGGCATCTGTTTGGAAAGTGGTGCTAGAGAGTTTACAAACTTGTATTATTTTTGAGGTATATTTATTTGGAATTACTTAGTGGTGTAAATGGTTCCCAGGCAGGGTTGATGTGGTGTATATGTGCCCTCTCCTCCTACAATGTACCAGAAACTGCCTGGTAGTGATGAATACATAGTGAAACTAGGGTGTGTTCATGTTTTGATGTCCAGCAAATCCAAAGGGAGTCACTCAGTGCTAACTTTCTTTGACTGCTATCTTTGTCACTTCTTCCGACTGGTGCCTGGGGACATAAGCTGTGCTCAATGCCCTCTTTGCTGTGCTGAGTGCTTTCCAGCTCATCCTCTGAGCCATCATTTGGTGACACCAGTAACTCAGGTATTTAGGACCTTTGTTACCTCTTCCTTTTGGTTAAGTGTAACTGGGAATTGCAGGGGGTTAGGCTGGGGGGACGTTGGTCGAAGGAACAAAATGAAAGTGACTAGAAGCTTGGCACCTGCTGGGATTCCCAGGGCTTCAAGCTCAAGGACCAGATGAAGGGAAATTCTGGCCTTAATGCATTGCTGGAGTAGATGGCAGAGAAAACCTTCACCCAGTCATTCAGAGAAGTCCGAGTGCAAAGGGGTTTAGTAAGGTATAAGAGACATAATACCTTGTGCTTCCGGAGGCTGCCAGGACTGGTGGGCGTGGAGATGGGTGACTGTTTAGACTTGGGGGTAGAGAGCTGGCTGCTGGAGGTCCCGTTTGCTAGCCCGAGGCAAGAGAAAAGGAAGGGGTAAGAATCAACAGCATACAAAGGAACCAGTTATCCTTCCCCTCCGAAGACACTAAGAACATTCAAGCAAGGTACACAGACAACCAAGTGATTTGATGAGCGGAACAAAGGTGAGAAGAAACACATTCCTCAGAAAGGGCCAGAACAGCAATCCTCAGTTAATTAGATCCTGGAGCAGTGCAGGGCCGTAATCCTCCCACCCTTTCCCCTGAGTGCTTCCAATTACAGGGCTCTGGTTCTTTTCAAACCTTTCTCATATTCATTCCCCAGTTTGACCCTAACACCATCTCTGGGAGGTAGTGTGGGAACATATGATTTTGTTTCGATGTTACAAGGCAGAAAAAAAAAAGGTGAGGCAAAAAGAGGTTCTGTGCCTTCCCTTTAGAGTGGAAGGAATCTGGGTGATTGGGACGAGGAGCGCATCCCCTCTGGTGGTAAATGCCGTGGCAGGTACAGGATAGCCCCGTGGCCAATCTCTCCCCACTCTCTCTTTTCCTGCTCACCCCCCCCCCACACACACACACACTTCACTCTCTCTTCCTTGCCTCATCCTGGCTGAAAAGAGCTGAAGGAAAGAAAAAAAGAAAGGAAACTACCCAGGAAGGAGAATAGAAAAGAAAGTGGAAGAGAAATAGTGTGACACATAAAGGCTTGTAGAGGGAGAGGGGCAGAGGTGGAAATCAGTAACAAGGGAGCAAAAGAGATCAGGAGTGGAGAAGGGAGATGAGGAAGACAGGGTAAGAGGTCAGGAGAAGAAAAGAAAGCCGAAGTATGAAACCAGGAGAAACGCACAATGACAGAGGAAGGCAGACAGTGGTGGTCAGAGGCAGGGTGCACCCTCATTTCTCTCTAGGCCAACAAAATGCTGAAAAGGAGATGGTTTAGTATGCAATGTCTTGATATTACATTGTGTTTGTAAATGGTTTTATATTCCTTTTGCTAATGAGCTTTTTAAAGATCCAATCATGTAAAAAAATGTGGTGCATGGAAATGGAACAATTAAACAGCTCTCGAGTGGATTCATGTTTAGACATCTCCTGCTATAGTTAATTTAAAAAAAAATCCAAGGACCAACACTGCTAATCAGAGATACTCTGAAATGTGGTTTACAAATAAAGAGATCTTTTTAAAAATATCCCAAAGGTACATGGGGCAGAGAGTGAGAGAGGGAGGAAGGAGAGAAACAAGAAGGAAGGGAAAGCTTAAATTGTTGTATCATGAATATTTTCTGAGAATCTAATGTCCTCTCTTCCACCTAGGATAATGTTTCCCTAAGTTTTGGAACCTGTGTTATCAACTATAGAGATGGAAGAGACACCAGTGGGGTGGTTACTGAGTTTATCCAAGTGCAAGCAAGCTAAAATATGGGCACATAGGTATCCACTTATCTGGCTTGAGATGTGTATTAGTGAATGCATCTCCCACATACTTACTGAGACACCTTTCTCCCTGTCAGGGCTTCCTGGAACTCTTTCATTCATTTAGCCAGTAGTTACAGGGAGCTTTCTCTAAACTAGGCCACGTTGGGATTCCAGAGATGAGTAAACTACTTCCTGTGGTGAGCTGGGCAAGAATACAGTGGGCTAAGTACTATGGCAGAGCCATGCATAGGTAATTGTTGGAGCGCAAAGGAGAGGTTTTGAAATCAGGAGACTGGGAGGTACATAGGAGGAGGCAACACCTGAACAAAAAATCTTGAAGGATGACTCTGGAATAATTGGAGACAAATCAATGGAGACAGGAAATAGATTAACGGTTGCCAGGGGCTGGCCAGGGTTGAAGTGGGTAGTTGGGGAGAAACAAATGTGTGTGATAATAGGGACAGAGTTTATTTTAGGGGGATAAAGATATTCTGGCAGTAGTGGTGACCATTGCACAGCTAGGTGGCTAAACTAAAATCCATCGAAGTGCACATTCTGAAGGAGTACAACCTAATGTGAATTGTAGCTCAAAAAAGCCATTACAAAAAGAAGAATTAGAACTGGTTAGGCAGAGGACAGAAAGGGTATTCTAGACTCTAGGATTGTACCAGTAGGGGCAAGGACACAGAGGTATAAAAGAATACAGTATGTTTATAAAGTGCAAAGAGCTCAAAATGGCTCAAGCACAGGTGCCAGCAGTGAATTCTAAGAGATGAGATTGGGAATGGCGTAAAGGGTGGACTTTGGGGTCCTTTTGTGGGGCCTTTTTAAAAAAAATATTTGAGAGAGAGAAAGACAGAGGATGGGCAGGAGGGAGGAGGCAGAGGGAAAAGCAGGCTCCCATTGAGCAGGGAGCTCGACATGGGGTTCGATCTCAGGACCCTAGGATCATGACCTGAGCTGAGGGAAGACTCTTAACCAACTGAGCCACCCAGGTGCCCCCTTTTGTGGAGCCTTTTACTTGGGTTTCATTCGTGAAAGAAATCTGAGAGTGATACTATCACTATTGCATTTTAAAACTATTACTCCAATTGCTGGGATAAAATGGGGATGGGGTAGGCTACAGTGAGGGTAGGAGCAAAGAGATTGGTTAGAAGACAACGTGCTAGTCCAGGGGCACCTGGATGGCTCAGTTGCTTAAGCATCCTACTCTTGATTTTGGCTCAGGTTGTGATGTCAGGGTCATGAGATCGAGTCCCAAGTTGGGATTCTCTCTCTCTCCCTCAGCCTCTCCCCTTACTCTGTTTAAATTCTTATTTAAAATAATTTTTTTAAAAAAGAGGACCATGCACTAGTCCAGGTGAGAGATGATGATGACTTAAAGCAATGGAGAGGGAGAGAAGGGACAAAACAGAAGAGACCTAGAGGACAGATAAGCTTAGAGTGTTATGTGCGTGCACTAGTAAGCCACCCCAAGAAAAGTGTGATCTGTGCCAACCAGCATGGAGACTGTGGGGGCTAGGCTTGGCCACGGCACTGGGCACTTCCCCAGGTGAGCTCTGAAATTTTGTTCCACGGGATCAATGCCTCCTTTGGCAACAATGGATTATTTGGTTCCGAGGGATCAAGGCATCCTTTGGCAACAATGGATTGTCATTCCCCAGCATTTATCATCCATGCTACACAGCAGTAGTTACTATATTCCCAACTGTCTTTTTCACCTACACTCTTACCTAGCTGAGGATGGGCCCACTGGTCTTTGCAAAATTGATAAAACTGATCACAAGCATGTCTGCAGGTGAGGCAGTTTCCACCTATTTATTGGCCATAGACCTGCACATACAGGTTCTTGTGCAACTCCCAGTGCTTTTCTTAATATCCTCAGAAAGTCTCTCACTCCAAAACTTTAGGGGTAATACATAAACACATATTTTGTGAATACCTCTCTCTCTAGTCTCTGTGTGTTTGTCTATGTTGATTTCTGCCCCTCCCCGGCTAGTCAATCTTAAGCTACCTATAATGAAAGACTATTTGTCATCCACATTCACCAAGCATTTTGAAAATTCATTTTTTTATTTTTTTAAAGATTTTATTTATCCATTCATGAGACACACACACACACACAGAGAGAGAGAGAGAGAGAGAGAGGGAGGGAGGCACAGAGACACAGGCAGAGGGAGAAGCAGGCTCCATGCAGGGAGCCCGATGTGGGACTCGATCCCGGGTCTCCAGGATCACGCCCTGGGCTGAAGGCAGCGCTAAACTGCTGAGCCACCCGGGCTGCCCCGAAAATTTATTTTTTAATACCTTAACTGCCACCCACTGCATTTTTGGGAAATGCAAACACTTCCCCAGACTTCCTGATGGAATAAAACCCAAAGGTGGACATAGAGAGACATGAGAGAACATAACACGCACAAGCAGATGTCAAGTTCTCTCGAGCTGAAGGAGCCCCTACATTTATAGACTAGATAAAAATACACTCACATGTGCATTTCTTCTATGGATTCTGTGGGAAAAACTACCTGCCAGGGTGCCATTTGATATAGACTCTGAAGCTAATTCCTATAAATGTCAAGTAAGAGAAGAAGCAGGAAAAAAATGCTAATAGGGTCTGATGAACCATGCACAGTCTCACATTGGCCCATCCACATGGACAGCCATGATAGTTCATTGTGAGAGCGGCCGGAAGTAAGACCACTTGTGACATCCCTCATTATCCTTTATTTTTCTTTACAAAATGTCCTCAGCTCATCTCTGAACTTCTAGTTCACAGCGGCTATTTGAGGATGCATGAGGGGAGACTTTGCCCCCTTTGATTTGTCTGTCTTTCTCCTTCCCCTGCTCAGAACCATAGCCCTGTCTCACCATGGCCACCTTTTATTTCCTCAGAGTCCAAATCCTTTCCTTCCTTTCTTCTCATTGTACAGGGCAGTGTTTTCCCTCTACAACAAGGTGCATCTGGGACTTCTCAGTCTCCTAGGCCATCTTATCAATCTTATCAATAAAAACCAAGATAATAATTATTGCTTATTTGGTGTCTGGTAAGCCAGGCACTCTCTGTATGTACTCTCCTCTACCCCTGCAAAATAATAATAATAAAAAAAAACATAGCTTCTTTTAGTTTTATTTTCATTTCCAATGAGGAAAGAGAGGCTCACTTTAGTTAGGGATGCAAAAGTCAGGATTTGAACACACATCTTTCTGATTCCAAAGTCTATGTGTATTTCGGTTTGTTTTCAGTTTTTGCTATATCCCTCTTGCTTTTATAGGTGAATTGCTTCTGGGACTCCTTTGTATGACAACTTTCTTTTTAAAAATATTTTATTTAAATTCAATTTGCCAACATATAGTATAATACCCAGTTCTCATCCCATCATGTGCCCTCTTTAGTGCCTGTCACCCAGTTACCCCATCCCCTTACCCTCCTCCCCTTCTGCCACCCTTTGTTTCCCAGAGTTTCATGGTTTGTTTTCCTCTCTAATTTTTCCCCACTCAGTTTCCCTCCTATGACAACTTTCTGCTGGAGGAAGAAAGAGGGGAGAAAAGTTGTGGAGAAAGGAGAGAGGAATAGGACAAGGTAAAGTAGACTCCAGAGCTTCTGCCCATCT